GTTTCTTATATAAATGTTAAAAGGCGTGGGGGAAAATTTTACTCTTCGGGACCACCGACCAAGGAATCGAACAGGAGTCCCCCGGCACCACCATTTGGGACCGGCTGTCCATGAAGGACCAGAGCCACTGTAAAACAGTGCCCCCAAGTACCATACAAGAGAGCCAGCCCAGAAGGATACCATGGTTGATAGTATCTAAAGCCCTGAGAGGTCCAGGAGAACTAGGAGGGACACACTCCCCCTATCTAGTTCTCTTTGTAGATCATCTACCAAGGCAACCATTGCATCACGGCTCCATAGCCGAGTCTGAAACCAGAGTGAATTGGATCTTGATCAATGGTTTCAAATCTGTGGTCTTGCTCCGCAAGAACTAAAATATGATCCACAGCTTCACTATTACTACACCGTTGCAACAAGAGCAACTGCTTTTGCAAAACCCTCTTATAGTACCAGTGCTTATTAAATATGGTTTCCTGTGGGCAAGCAGATGAGGATTACTGGATGGCATATGTTCTGTATCAGAAACTAGAGCTCGCATGGTCTTTCCAATGCAATTTTACGAATCAGCACCTCAAATAACCAAACCAAATATAAAGTTGAGCAAAAACTGATTTGTAACCCTTTTGGTACTAATATTGGAGAATGGTCCCTGGTTAAGTGGTCCCTGGTCAAAAAAAGGTTGGAAACCACTGACATTATCTGCGAAGAACCTAGCAAAATCTTCATAATAAGCCCTGGCTGACCAGGGTTTAAAAATCCTCTGACCACTCGAAACAGCTTTCTTGGGCATTTCCTTGCAGTTGCAATGTTGGCAGAAATTTAAAGATTTTTCTGCCGCCTTCAGTGCCGTGGAATATGCTTTTAAATGAGCTCTAGAGACCATGTTTGGTCAGATTCACAGCACAATCGACGCCAAGGATGCTCTAGCCTCCTTTTCACTTGCTTCACAGCTGCTAGTTCCCTGGTATACCGGGGGCTGACTTGCCTCTGCTTTGTGAAAGGAGATGTTCAGGAATGATTGTCTCAACTGACCTGGCCACCTCCGTATTCCAGAGGTCTGCCAGATTTTGACAGAATCATCTACTGCGGTGCCCTGGTGAAGGAAGTTGGACTGGATGGCCTTAAGTATTTTCTGTTGATCATGGGGGTTCTGTGTGGGAAGTTTGCCCCAATTCTGTCATTCGTGGGGTTCAGAATGCTCTTTGATTGTAGGTGAACTATAAATCCCAGTAACTGCAACTAACAAATTTCAAGGTCTATTTCCCCCAAACTCCATCTGCGTTCATATTTGGGCATATGATCCATCATTGTTTGATCCATCATTGTTTGAGTCAACAGTGCTCTCTGGATGTAGGTGAAACTACAACTCCCAAACTCAAGGTCAATGCCCACCAAACCCTTCTAGTGTTTTCTGTTGGTCATGGGAGTCCTGTGTGCCACGTTTGGTTCAATTCCATCATTGGTGGAGTTTGGAATGCTCTTTGATTGTAGGTGAACTATAAATCCCAGCAACTACAACTCACAAATGACAAAATTAATTTTTTTAGTGATGGTCACTCTTTGGGTTAGTAGGTGTCTTGTGGCCAAATTTGGTATCAATTTGTCCAGTGGTTTTTGAGTTATGTTAATCCCACAAACGGACATTACATTTTTATTTATATACTGGCTGTCCCCTGTCACGCGTTGCTGTGGCCCACATGGGGGTTCTGTGTGGGAGGTTTGGCCTAATTCTATCGTTGGTGGGGTTCAGAATGCTCTGTGATTGTAGGTGAACTATAAATCCCAGCAACTACAACTCCCAAATGTCAAGATTCTATTTTCCCCAAACTCCACCAGTGTTCACATTTGGGCATATTGAGTGTCCTTGTAGAGTTTGGTCCGGATCCCTCATTTTTTGAGTCCACAGTGATCTCTGGATGTAGGTGAACTACAACTCCAAAACCAAAGGACACTTCCCACTAAACCCTTCCAGTATTTTCTGTTGGTCATGGGAGAACTGTGTGCCAAGTTTGGTTCAATTCCATCGTTGGTGGGGTTCAGAATGCTCTTTGATTGTAGGTGAACTATAAATCCCAGCAACTACAACTCCCAAATGGCAACATCATTATTATTATTTTTTGAGTGAGGGACGTACATTGGGTTGTTAGGTGTCTTGTGTCCAAATTTGGTGTCAATTCATCCAGTGGGTTTTAAGTTCTGTTAATCCCACAAAAGAACATTACATTTTTTATTCATAGATAGAAGATTCCTGGATGGGAAGGGATTAAAGTGATCATTCTTGTGATTTCTTTCAACTTTTGATTTGTAGGAAACTATATATGTAAGTCTTTATACTTACATGTAAGTATATGTGTGTGTGTGTGTGTGTGTGTGTGTGTGTGTGTGTGTGTGTGTGTGTGTGTGTGTGTGTGTGTCTAAAAAAACTAAGGTAAGGACAAAATGAAGTCACCTCAAAAAAAAGGCGGGAACATGAGGCACGCGAGCGAGAGCGCACGCGCACCTGACTCAACGGTTTCCCCTCAGCCAACGGTCAGCTCTCGCGCCAATGCCGCCCCGCCCCCAAAAACAAACAGAAGCCACAAGTGGCGCGAGCTGCCCTTTTACAAGAAGAGACGGAAGCCCCGCCCACTTCTTTGCAAGCCACGCCCCCCCGACGGTGCAGCTCTTCGACTTGGAACGGCCCCTCCTCGCGCCAGCCTTTCCCTCCCCCCTCCCCCACCAAGACGGCAATTCCAACCGTCAGGGGGCTGCGAGCCGCCCTTTAGGAGAAGCAACACAGGCCCCGCCCACTTCTCTGAAAGCCACGCCCCCAAAGAGCAGATCTTCGACTTGTAACGGCCCCTCCCTCCTCGCGCCAGCCTTCCTCAAGACAACTCCCAACTCTCAGCTGCCCTTTAGAAGCAACACAGGCCCCGCCCACTTCTCTGAAAGCCACGCCCCCAAAGAGCAGATCTTCCTCCTCGCGCCAGCCTTCCTCAAGACAACTCCCAACTCTCAGCTGCCCTTTAGAAGCAACACAGGCCCCGCCCACTTCTCTGAAAGCCACGCCCCCAAAGAGCAGATCTTCCTCCTCGCGCCAGCCTTCCTCAAGACAACTCCCAACTCTCAGCTGCCCTTTAGAAGCAACACAGGCCCCGCCCACTTCTCTGAAAGCCACGCCCCCAAAGAGCAGATCTTCCTCCTCGCGCCAGCCTTCCTCAAGACAACTCCCAACTCTCAGCTGCCCTTTAGAAGCAACACAAGCCCCGCCCACTTCTCTGCAAGCCACGCCCCCCCCACATTTCAGCTCCAACTTGCAACGGCCCCTCCTCTGCAGGAGTCTACCGTGTACCATGCAGCTGTGGACAAGTCTACATAGGGACCACCAAACGCAGCAGCATTGCCCAAACACGCATCAAGGAACATGAAAGGCACTGCAGACTACTTCAACCAGAGAAGTCAGCCATAGCAGAGCACCTGATGAACCAGCCTGGACACAGCATATTATTTGAGAACACAGAAGTGCTGGACCACACCAACAACCACCATGTCAGACTACACAGAGAAGCCACTGAAATCCACAAGCATGTGGACAATTTCAACAGAAAGAAACCATGAAAATGAACAAAATCTGGCTACCAGTATTAAAAAAACTCAAAAATTACAACAGCAAAACAACAGAGGGGAAACAAACAGGCACATAAAATCACTCTCAACAAAAGATTCCCCCCAGGCACTTCCAAGCATTGAATGCTAATCAAGGTGATCAGCTGAAACATTCACAGCTAGCCCCAGCAGACAAAAGTCCTTTGTCTCACCCTGGTCATTCCACTGTGGAATGCCCTTCCCGCAGATATTAGATCGGCCCCCTCCCTGCTGGCGTTCAGGAGAAGAGTGAAGACCTGGCTCTTTGAACAGGCGTTTAATTAAGCAGTGCAATTAATTGATTGATCTTGGAACTTGGAATAATGGACGAGGAGATCGGATTATGACTTTACTGATGAGACGTGATGGATTAGTTATATGGATGTATTGATGTTATATTGATGTACTGATGTATTGTTATATTGATGTAGTTGCCTTAGATACTGTTTTAATTGCTAATGTTGTGCACTTTGTATATTGGTTTGGTTGTAAACCGCACTGAGTCGCCTACGGGCTGAGAGAGTGCGGTATACAAATAAAGTAAATAAATAAATAAATAACCATTGTCCCAATTCCAACAGACCTCACTACCTCTGAGGATGCTTGCCATAGATGCTGGCGAAACGTCAGGAGAAATGCCTCTAGAACATGGCACTATAGCCCGAAAAAAACCCACAAGAACCTAGGCACATAAAATCACTCTCAACAAGAGATTCCCCCCAGGCACTTCCAAGCCATTGAATGCTAATCAAGGTGATCAGCTGAAACATTCACATCCAGCCCCAGCAGACAAGAGTCCTTTGTCCTACCCTGGTCTTTCCACAGATATATAAACCCATTTTTCCTACTTCCAACAGACCTCACTACCTCTGAGGATGCTTGCCATAGATGCAGGCGAAACGTCAGGAGAAATTCCTCGAGACAAAAACAGGCACATAAAATCACTCTCAACAAGGGATTCCCCCCAGGCACTTCCAAGCCATTGAATGCTAATCAAGGTGATCAGCTGAAACATTCACACCTAGCCCCAGCAGACAAAAGTCCTTTGTCTCACCCTGGTCATTCCACAGATATATAAACCCATTTTCCTACTTCCAACAGACCTCACTACCTCTGAGGATGCTTGCCATAGATGCAGGCGAAACGTCAGGAGGGAATGCCTCTAGACCATATAGCCCGGAAAAACCTACAACAACCCAATGATACAAAAAGGTTTACTAGGGTTGATCCTCAGCCACCCCGCTTTGAAGCAAACTCAGCATCAAACTCAGCACCCCCCCCCCCCCCCGAATCAAAATCCTGGCTACGAGCCTGGCCACGCCCACTTCTCGCAAGCCACGCCCACCCGCGGCGTTGTTCTTGCCCCGCCCCTCCCTCCTTCCTCAGGTGAGCTTCCGGACTTTCCGCCTCGCGTCTCTTTTCGGGTTTGGTCCCGGAAGTTGACAGCCATCGTGGTCGCTGTGTTGGCGAGGCGGAGCGAGGATGGCCGGGCTGGCGGCTCTCCTGCCTGCGGTGCTTTTGTTGGGTCTGGGGGCGCCTCTGGTTCCAGGGCTGAGGCTTCTCCACGAGGCGCAGCACTTCAACTGCTCCCAGCCGGTAAGTTGGGCGAGGCAGTGCCCATCGAGGAGAGCACCTACACTAGAATTAATGCAGATTGACACCACTTTGGGCTCATCTACACCAACTTGGGCCCTCCAGGTGTTTTGGACTTCAACTCCCACAATTCCTAACAGCCGGTAGGCTGTTAGGAATTGTGGGAGTTGAAGTCCAGAACACCCGGAGGGCCCAAGTTGGCCCATGCTTGCTCTAGGCCAGGGGTAGGGAACCTTCGTTCAGTCGTCTCCAACTCTTCTTGACCTCATGGACCAGCCCACGCCAGAGCTCCCTGTCGGCCATCACCACCCCCAGCTCCTTCAAGGTCAGTCCAGTCACTTCAAGGATGCCATCCATCCATCTTGCCCTTGGTCAGGCCCCTCTTCCTTTTGCCTTCCACTTTCCCCAGCATAATTGTCTTCTCTAGGCTTTGCTGTCTCCTCATGATGTGGCCAAAGTACTTCAACTTTGTCTGTAGTAACCTTCCCTCCAGTGAGCAGTCTGGCTTTATTTCCTGGAGTATGGACTAGTTTGATCTTCCTGCGGTCCAAGGCACTCTCAGAATTTTCCTCCACCACCACATTCAAAAGCATCTATCTTCCTTTGCTCAGCCTTCCTTAAGGTCCAGCTCTCACATGGAATACCATGGCTTTGACTATGCGGATCTTTGTTGCCAGTGTGATATCTCTACACTTTACTATTTTATCAAGACTGGACATTGCTCTCCTCTCAAGAAGTAAGCGTCTTCTGATTTCCAGCAGTGTAGAATAGATGCACCCAATGGCATGGATTTATGGGAGTTGCAGTTCTACAAGGTCTTCAGCCTTCTCTGCCAAAGAGCTCTGGTGCCTCACAGGACTACAACTCCCATGATTCCATAGCTTTATTGACCCATGGTGGTTAAAGTGATGTCAAACTATGCATCGGTGCTCTCCGAAGTTGGTGTATTAACTAATAAGCCTTATCTGAGTTTATTTATTTATCGTGTCAAGGGCAATGAGACAATTTTATTATATTTCTAACAGAACAAAACAAACAAGCAGGCAAAACACAAAGTTTGCAAGCTTGGTGGTTGATTAAATGTCCTTTGACTAGTATCTGGCCACTTGGAAGTACCTTTGGTGTTGCCGCAAGAAGGTCCTCCATTGTGCATGTAGTTTATGCTTTGCATTGCTTTGTCTGCCATTTCGCTGGAAACACTATTTTGGGTACAGCTAGGAAAGGCACTTGCAAATTGAATAAATATTTATTTATTTATTTATTTATTTATCATGTAATCCGCAACCAGAACATTGTATTACATTTCAAACAGAACAAAACAAACAAACAGATAAAAACAAAAACACAAATTTTGCGAACTTGGTAGCTGATTAAATGTCCTTTGACCAGTATCTGGTGTTGCCGCAAGGAGGTCCTCCATTGTGCATGTAGCAGGGCTCAGGTTGCATTGCAGCAGGTGGTCTGTGGTTTGCTCTTCTCCACACTCACATGTCGTGGATTCCACTTTGTAGCCCCATTTCTTGAGGTTGGCTCTGCATCTCGTGGTGCCAGAATGCAGTCTGTTCAGGGCCTTCCAAGTCGCCCAGTCTTCCATGTGCCCAGGAGGGAGTCTCTCATCTGGTATCACCCACGGATTGAGGTGCTGGGTTTGAGCCTGCCATTTTTGGACTCTTGCTTGCTGAGGTGTTCCAGCGAGTGTCTCTGTAGATCTAAGAAAACTATTTCTTGATTTAAGTCGACGTGCTGGCTGATACCCAAACAAGGGATGATGTTTTTATCATCCTTGTGGGAGGCTTCTCTCATGTCCCCGTATGAGAAGCTGGAGCTGATAGAGGGAGCTCATCCGCCTCTCCCCGGATTCGAACCTGCGACCTGTTGGTGTATTAACTAATAAACCTTATCTTAGTTTATGCTTTGCATTACTTTGTCTGCCGTTTCGCTGGAAACACTATTTTGGGTACAGCTAGGAAAGGCACTTGCAAATTGAATAAATAATAATAATAATAATAAAATATGTGAGAGGAAGCCACAGGGAGGAGGGAGCAAGCTTGTTTTCTGCTTCCCTGGAGACTAGGACACGGAACAATGGCTTCAAACTATAAGAGAGGAGATTCCATCTGAACATGAGGAAGAACTTCCTGACTGTGAGAGCCGTTCGGCAGTGGAACTCTCTGCCCCGGGGTGTGGTGGAGGCTCCTTCTTTGGAAGCTTTTAAACAGAGGCTGGATGGCCATCTGTCAGGGGTGATTTGAATGCAATATTCCTGCTTCTTGGCAGGGGGTTGGACTGGATGGCCCATGAGGTCTCTTCCAACTCTTTGATTCTATGATTCTAATAATAATAATCTTTATTTATACCCCACCATTATCTCCCTGAAGGGGACTCAAGGCGGCTAACATGAAACCACGCCCAAAGATACAATACAGCAGAATAAAATGCAAAAAACAGACAACAAAAATGACATCAGAATAAAATGCATGCAGTAGCAAAGTAAAATAAATAAAGTAAATTGACATAACATAAAATCAAACACAATGGGCAGGCCAAATGGATGAGGTAAAATGATAAAATCCTGGATGAGGTGGGAATAAAAAAGTGTAATTGAGAGGAGCCCAAAAAGGCTTTCACTTTAGGAAGGGGGAAAGTGCATCATAGGGGCAAAACTATGGATGGAACAAACAGAAATGGGATAAATGGTCACTCTCCAAAGGCACATTGGAAGAGCCAAGTTTTCAATTTTTTCTTGAGGGCTGCTAAGGTGGAGGCTCACCAGGTAGTGAGTTCCAAAGTGGGGGGGGGGGGGCACAGTGGAGAAGGCCACCTGCCTCTTTCCAGCAAGCCTTGCCTGTGATAGAGGAAGGGGCAAAAGGAGGACCTTCCTCAGAGGCTCGGAGGGATCATGCAAGTTGGTGATAGGAGATGCAGTCGCGAAGGTAGTCAGGTCCCAAACCGTTCAAGTCTTTATAGGTGATAACCTGCAGCTTGAATTGGGACTGGAAAATGAACGGCAGCCAATACAATCTCTATTGTCTGTAAACAGTGTCTGGTTAATTCCCAGAAAGGCAGATTTGCATAGATAAATAGTGAAAGAGGAGTGGTGTCTGAAATTAAAGGCACAGTACACTCACTGCCTAAATTGTGGAACTGAATTAAAATCGGCTTATATCTCCTGTACAAGGAATGAGTGGACCAGAAACATTAGTGTTATTCAATGCTTTAATGCTGGAATGTCGTGTTTCCTTCGTGGTTTTCTCCTGATGAGCATGTTTTTTAAATCCCAGACAAGAGAAAGTAGAATTGATTAAACATGACTAACCCATTTTACGTCTCGCATGAGTTGCCTCTCTTTTTGTAAAAGCTAAGTACAAAACTACCACAGAGATTCTTAAGAGGGGTATTCTCTTGTGTAAAAAAATAAAAATAGAAATTTTGTCATTCTTGAGTTTTCACTTTCATGGGGTGCCCTGTCCCTAACTTCAGCTAAAGTAGGGAGGTAAAGGTTTCCCACTGACATTAAGTCCAGCCGTGTCTGACTCTGGGGTGTAGTGCTCATCTCCATTTCTAAGCCGAAGAGCCAGCGTTGTCCGTAGACACCTCCAAGGTCATGTGGCCAGCATGCCTTCATGGAGCGCTGTTACCTTCCCGCTGGAGCAGTACCTATTGATCTACTCACATTTGCATGTTTTCGAATTGCTAGGTTGGCAGAAGCTGGAGCTGACAGCAGAAGCTTACGCCGCTCCCCGGATTCAAACCTGCAACCTTTCGGTCAACAAATTTAGCAGCTCAGTGGTTTAACCCACTGTGCCACCGGGAGAGCTGATTATGTATGAAATAGCAAATTGTTTAGATAAATATAATTCCCATTAGCTACCAACAGTAAAAATACTCACAGAGTTGGACATCTTTTCTTTTTCCATATTAGTAGAATTTGTTCAGTAAAGCAAAAATGCATTGACACTAGAGTCAGCATAGTAACATGACAGTACCTCTCACCAAGTGTTGTTATTTATTCAAGTTCATTGCCACAACTTCACATTAATTAAATGATTCCCATTAGCTTTTGTAATAAACTCCAACCATTGGGGATTCTATTTTAAGTTTTTCCTGGCAAGGTTTATTCATATGCAGTTCTGCTGAAAGTGAGTGAATTGCCCTAACTCTCCCAGTTGGTTTTAACTGTAGAGAGCATGAACCCATCAGGTCTGTTCAAAGATTTTATTTTACATTGTTTTGCAAACCTTTTAAAAAAAATCTACCAATACACTTTAAATGGGTTACAAATTATATTTTCTTGCCAAAAATATTTCTGTATGCAGTGCTTCATCTTGATAGTAGTTATGAAATAACATCAGTGGGCGCAATTTTCCATTCCAACTTCTGCTGAAACCACAGCTAGTGGATGAGCCCATCTTATGCAAATATGAGAGGCATCGACATCTACTAATCACAACTTAGAGAAGATTGTTCATTGTGTACAAGTGTGCCAGCTGAAAAATGTAACCTTTCAGTCAGTATTCTTAACAGGTTTTGCAAACACTACAGTACATTGAACAGCATCTACTGCCTTTGAACAGAAGAAGCCATCACACAAATCATTTTGTATTACTGTGTGAAGGAGTTTCTGTGTATGTAGAGAGTCAGTGTTGTTGCCTGTCTAAGATTGCAGATTCTCCATGAGATCAGATGCATGGTTGTCGTTTGTGTCCCTTTAGCTCTCAACAAGAGCTAGAGATTAGATAAAGAAGCATGTAACCCAAGTTTTCCCTGACCATTTTTCTAACTTGCTGTCGACCCTTGCAGCCCAAAAGACAGTTGCATCTGTTAAATAGGAAATTTAGGTACCACTTATGCGGGGAGGCTAATTTAACTAATTTCCGACTCCATAAAAATCTCCAGCAGCAGGCAAAAGAATGAGGAAGTACTCCATCAAGGACTTGGTGTTACAAGTGGACCCTGAAGCGACACCCCCTGGTGGCCGGAATTCAAGCATACCCTCATGAAGCTTAAATTGCCTCTGTGTTTGTCTATATATGTTGTGTGTCTGTGACATTGAATGTTTACTATATATATGTGCACTGTAATTCGCCCTGAGTCCCCTGCAGAGTGAGAAGGGTGGAATATAAATACTGTAAATAAATAAATAAATAAATAAATAAATAAAATTCTGGAAGCCTTCCATGGAAACTATTGTATATGGAAGCTACACAACGAAGATATACCCATTGTATCCCAGTTCATTTGCTAACCTCTTTATAGAATTTAGAAAAATCTTAGTTGTTACTGCTGCAATTCAGTGCAAAAATAAACAGCCAAGGTGATCTGAGAGTCGTCATTTCTTAGGTTCGCAATGGAATAGATATGGTTCTTGTTTTGATTATCTCTTTCACAGTGAATTTTCCTATCAGTGGGTGTGATTTGTCTATGTCATTATACTAAAAAGTGCTTCCAAGTTTTTACTTTTATAATATTCAGATAATCCATTACCATTCCATTAAGGACAATCATAAAAAGTAAGGAAAAGATTTCCCCTGACATTAAGTCTAGTCATGTCTGACTGGGGGATGGTGCTCATCTCCGTTTCTAAGTTGAAGAGCCGGCGTTGTCCATAGACACCTCCAAGGTCATGTGGCCAGCATGACTGCATGGAGCTCCGTTACCTTCCCGCAGAAGCAGTACCTGTTGATCTACTCACATTTGCATATTTTCAAGCTGCTAGGTTGGCAGAAGGTGGGACTAAAAGCAGGAGCTCACCTCACTCCCCAGATTCAAATAGCCAACCTTTTGGTCAGCAAGTTCAGCAGCTCTGTGGTTTAACCCAATGCATACAAAAATATATCAATTTCCCTTAGGACTGGGAATGCCCTTTGGAAAATGTTTTAATTTTGACACAGAAGCTAAGGCCTTATAAAATGCCGCAGCTAATGGAAATCAAGCATGGTTTTGATATTAATATGTTTTCCGTAGTAACCATTCTGATATTATGTATCTTATCCCCATATTTTGTCTTGGATTAGTTTTGTGCTAAAGCAAATTGTCTTTATATATTTTGCAGTTTTCAGAGAATGCTTATTTTACTTGCTGATAAGGAGAACTCGCATTCAGATAAAACAGATGGTGGTGTTTGTTTAAACAATTTATTGCAGGTTACATAAAAGGTTGATTGTGGCAGTGAATTCAAACTGTGCTGTATATTTATACAGCTGAAATACAGAAGGAATGGCATTTAATAAACAGATTGGTTGTCTTGTATTCATCCTGCTTCTTTTGGACTACTAATATGTAAAGGCTAGAAAACAGTGCCACTCCATCATTCATGGATTTAACGATGTTGAATTGTACCTCTACTCATTATTTCTCATTCAGCATTTCACATTCCTATATTAGCCTTCTTGTTCAAGCCAGAAATTATGAGTTGCTGTGCATTTTTCAGGCTGTATGGCCAAGGGCCCATACACACAGTACCCTTTATGTCTGGAGCTCCCGGTTCAAAATGGCAGATGGCCAAACAATGTCCCCTGAAAACACAGGAGAAATCTCTACAAAGAAATCTCTACAAAGAACTAAAAACACAAGATACACTGAATAAATACAGGGTTTTTTTTTAATGTTGGTTTGTTCCCAGTTTATACATGTCAGTTCCTGATCAGTTGTATCATAAAAACATGGCAGCAGTTGACTAGAGGGCAAAAACTTTATCTTGGCAGAAGAAAGTTCATCCTCCACACGTTTAATGAAATTTGTGACACACAAACAAAGGTTTTGCTTTGTAATCAACTTTTCCCATGTTTTTATGATAAAAGCCATGAGGAACAGACATGTATAACCCAGGAACATCACCCCTTTGTTCCCAGGCATAAGTACACAACCAAACCTGTCTGTACAGATGGCCATGCAGCCTCTGAATGATTATTATAATAATGATGCTGAAATTTCTGGTGGACATCTCATGGTGGCCATCTTGCAGGCTTCGAAATCCTGTAACTAAGCAGCAAGTCTGGACAGTGCAGGTAGAAATCCCGGGACCAACAGGTCTGTGTGCAGATCTCCTCTCAGGTCCTGGGTTATTTTGTCCCTCATGGAAAACCTGAAATTTGGTTCTGTCTGGAAGCACCCCAAGTTCCAGCAGCCTTCTTCCCTAGCGTTTCGCCTGCATCTATGACTGGTATATTCAGGGGTTCTCTTTGCAGTGAAGCAAGTAGAGTGTGTATGTACCTATGGCTTGCTTTACTGCCAACAGAACATCTGAAGATGCCAGCCACAGATGCAAGCGAAATGTTAGGAGAGAAGGCTGTTGGAACATGGCCATACAGCCTGAAAAACTCACAGTAACCCAGTGATTCCAGTGATGAAAGCCATTTTTTTTTATCAATACCAGAAATTATGGTTGCACACCTTGCCAATTCTCTTGGCAAGCTTTCTCCCTCCATCTTTGTCCACTTGTGGGAAAGATGTGGGGAAGAAGATGCCCCCACCCATATCTGAAGGTGCAGCATCCAGTATTCTGCATAGTTTTTCTGATTCCCTGCATGACGATGCCCTGTTTGTCACATCAGCTGAAAAACAACGCAAGCCTTCCTCCCTGCTTTGGAACTAAGAAAACCAAGGCAGTTTCCACCCACCTATAAAGTTTAAATTTCAGAGGAGGGTTGACTACTTACATTTATCATAGAATTGACCAGTCAGAGTAACAAATGAAGTTGTTGAAAGCTGGCCTTGATCATCACTGTACATATTCTCCTAGCCATATTAATTATAATTTGCCCAGACTGCAAACAACCGAATGAGATTAATATCTGGTTTAAAAGTTTGGTATTTCAAAGAGGTAGAATTAAGGTATGAGTTTATATTTTCAGGGAGGTTACTATCTGGAGGCTTGTTTCTAGAACCACATTGTTTGACTCTAGCCCAGAAGGAAAGAAAGTCATTTCTGGCAACAGGCTGCATCAGAAGAGGTGGTATGCCATCCCACAAGCATCAATCTGTGTATTTTTGTTTAGTCCTATGTAGTCCAGTTGGTCTTATTTCCAAATAAGTATGCAAAGGATTGGAGTCCTCATTTTCCCCAGAGGGAATAGGCCAGATGTCGCATTCCTTGCACTAAATGGGGCATTCCTTGCATTTAATAGCAGACTGAGATTTGCCAACCAGTTCAAGCACAAAATAACAGCCCAGGTGAGCTATGTATGCTAAGAATGAGATGCCTCTGAGTTCTTATTCAGACCAGGATTTTTTTATCAATTCCAATGCCAACAATAACTCTTCGCTGTAAGGTAGAAATGATATGGAAAAACAGATATTAGACACTCTAGGTTCATATGCTCATGCTAACTGCTGTGAAATGGTCACTGAGAATGTAAACAACCACAGTGGGGAAAATAATATTTTGTGGCACCTGTTTTTAACTGTTAAAAAAGAATGCCATATAATACTTATAAAACTGGTTTTAATCTGAGAATTTATAATAGCCAGGATTTCATACAACTCTGATTGGGAAATTGTCAAAGTTGTGTGAAAGCACATTGTTCATCATTGTTGAAGCGCATTGTTGAAACCCTTAAATCCAATTCGGATTTATGATGATCCATAAAATGCAATGTCCAGTGCTAAAGAAGATTGAGAAGAACTGGGGCTTGAACTATTAAGAATAAAAAGGGGACCAAGCCATGGAAGAACCCTGGAGAAATAAAGAAACTTGTCGAACGTTTTTTTTAGGAGGGAAAACAAGTCTGAGTCAATATAGGCCTTTCTAAGAAAGTGGTATGTTTCCCTAAGATTGTTACTCCACTGTGCTGCATGATCTGTTTTAGAATGCCACTCATAATTTCAGCCTGAATGTTTCTCTTCTTTATATCTCTGTGTTTTTTTAAACAATGGTATGTAATATAATAATTTTGATATCTCTTACTTATTTTCTATAATTTAGCTCTATGAAGTCAAATGAATTAGGATATAAGAAATGACATTCTTCCTGTTGATTACATACTTGTTATTTTCTCTTACAGGGTCTACTCTGCCTTGTGAGAAATAGTAAGTCATGTGTTTGTTTTCAGTAATCTTTAATAAGCTTGTAAATCTGTCAAGGAAAGCTGTCTCCCTTCCACCTGGTTCTCCTACTCTGATATTATGAGTGGCTCACCATAGTCCCTTTAAGTTTGAGAGTACAACTGGTGAATGCTATCTTGGTTAGTGGAGCAGTATTTGATAGTAATAATGACATGAAGGACTTGCATGAACAATATTTTGTCAGAATAAGTATGTATTACAAATACATCCACCAGGTTATGCATATCTTTTTCTGATTGTGTCTATACCTAGAACTAGAGTGTATTGTACATGAAACATTTCTCCCAAAGAGGATATGTTTTTCACTGGAGTTTTTGCATACTCACTAACTAGTGCACACTGCATTTTTTTTTGTTTTCTAGCAATAGCTTCTGTATATTGTCGAAGGCTTTCATGGCCGGAATCACTGGGTTGTTGTAGGTTTTTCCGGGCTATATGGCCATGTTCTGGAGGCAATTTTCTCCTGACGTTTCACCTGCATCTATGGCAAGCATCCTCAGAGGTAGTGAGGTCTGTTGGAAGTAGGAAAATGGGTTTATATATCTGTGGAATGACCAGGGTGGGACAAAGGACTTTTGTCTGCTGGAGCTAGGTGTGAATGTTTCAACTGACCACCTTGATTAGCATTTAATGGCTTGGAAGTGCCTGGGGGGAATCTTTTGTTGAGAGTGATTTGATGTGCCTGATTGTTTTCTCTGTTGTTTTGCTGTTGTAATTTTAGAGTTTTTTAATACTGGTAGCCAGATTTTGTTCATTTTCATGGTTTCTTCCTTTCTGTTGAAATTGTCCACATGCTTGTGGATTTCAATGGCTTCTCTGTGTAGTCTGACATGGTGATCAGCTGAACACATTCACAGCTAGCCCCAGCAGACAAAAGTCCTTTGTCTCACCCTGGTCATTCCACAGATATATAACTCCATTTTTCCTACTTCCAACAGACCTCACTACCTCTGAGGATGCTTGCCATAGATGCAGGCGAAACGTCAGGAGAAAAATTGCCTCCAGAACATGGCCATATAGCCCGGAAAAACCTACAACAACCCAATAGCTTCTGTGATGTTTGGTTAGACTATGTTAAACTGCAAGTATGAAAGGTTGGCATGATCTCCCGAAAAGTCCAATGATTACAAGGGAAATGTGCCTAAATTTGCAATGTTTGATTTCTAGGTACTTGCATGGATCAGAGCTGGCTCCGCTCTTGGAAATGGACTCCCTCAGCCCCAAGTTTCATTAATGTCCATGCTGGTACTTACTTTGATGCAGAGAGGAAACTGATCCCTGTCCTGAAAACAGAATGGAAAGTAGCTACTGATGGTAAATGAGGGGAGGTTTAATATAGATGGTATGACTGTAATATGTTAACAACAGCAGTAGGTGGGTAACATGATCCATTTGGCTCAGATACATTCAGTATCTACTGGAGTAGTAGTTTCACTGTGAGTGGCCTCGATGTGTGGTATGTGTTGCACAATTTTGTAATGAGGAACTACTGAAATGCACAAAAATCTTTGAACATAAGAACGTAAGATTTCCCATCATGGTCCCTGTGAATAGCACATGGTATTTCCTGTGTCTGCGCAGACAGTTCAGAATCTTCTAGAAAACTTATTAGACACTTTTAGGTGGTAGCCCCGCCCACTCTCCCCTTGAGAGTATATATAGCCAGTGTGTGGGGCTACTGCTTCAGTTCCTTTCATCCGCCACTCTCGCAGCAGTTAGGGAATCTTTCTCTCATTTTTATTTGATTAGCATTTTTGGACTGCGTTTATTTTCTGTTTTTGCTTCACTACAGCATACGCCTTCTTGTTTCTGCTTCATGGTTCTGGTATGTTACTCATTGCTTTCTTTATGAGGTGTTCCTCATATGAGGGACTGATGCCCGATATGGATGGGCACACCTGGGAGAAGGCTATGAGGTACAATCATGCACATAGAAATCTTAACCATTGTTCCCTGGAACCCCCAATGTTCTGCAAGAGATTGTTATGGGTTCCATAAGAGATTGTGATGGTAGAAGCATTTTTTAAATTATTTTTTGTCCTTTTTCAAATTATACATAAAAAATATAGGGACAGGGGAGTTCTAGAAATATTCAGGGTAGTTATGGGTATGGGAATGGGGAAATGGGTGAGGAATCGTAAGAAATAAAAATAAAAAATAATAAAAAAAATTAAAAGGGGGTTGAAAAGTATGGGCCGGAATCCAGGGTTTGGAAAGTACAAGGAAAAATAGGGAGGGGAAGGGTTGGCTTCCCAATCTTCTATAATTTTTATGCAAGGGTTGCCTGAGACCTGAAATTCATTCCAGAGTTCCTGCAGCACGAAAAAGGTTGAGAAAGGTTGCTGTATTTTGAGTGGTGGAACGCTGAGGTTTTTCTTCAACCTTTTAATTACAATCCTTGTCTGAAGATGTCAGACAAGGAGACCTAAGAAGATCCATTCCAGATCATTTCAAAACATTGCCCAATCTAGCATTCTGTTTCCCACAATGATAAATGAGATGCTTATGGAAAACCAAAGCATGGAAAACCAAGGCATAAAGGCAGTATCTCCCTCCCATGCCTATTTCTTGGTGACTGGTAATCAGGGTCATATTCAGTAATTGTTTATACACTTTGGCTTCATGATTTCGCTTGACGCCCTTTTGCAACTTCCTGAATGGCTTAACTGTTGCCACACTGAGGAAATTAATTTTGTAGTTTCACTATATATCAGGGGTGGGGAACTTTAAGCAGAAGATTATTACTCTATTCAGTGGTTCCCAGCCTTTGGTCCTTCAGGTGTTTTGAACTTCAGCTTGCACTATTCCTATCAGCTGGTAAAATGGCTGAGATTTCTGGGAGTTGAAGTCCAAAACAACTGGAGGACCAAAGGTTAGGAACTACTGCTCTATACTGATCTTCAAGGAACTGTGTGATACAGAGGCATGCCCATGACACTGAGTTATATGAATCCTCTGTCTTCATCTCAAAACTTCATTCTGTGGGGATTTCCCCCAGTTCGTAAAACCATACCTGACCAGCCCTCACATAGAGTAAAAGGCCTGGCTTCACTGCACATGGGGTTTCTCCACATATCGCGCAGGCACCTCATCTGAGATTGTAGGTGGAGAAGCACTCCACCATCTGCCATTTCAGTTAAGACAAGTTTTCCCTTTCTGGAAAAGACAGCAGAGCGGGAAAGAACTTAGCAGTGTTGCCCTCCCTCCCAAACACCTTCTATACTGCCGTATAATATCCAGATTATCTGCTTTAAAATGGATTATATGGCACTGTAGACTCACATAATCCAGTTCAAAGCAGATAATGTGGATTATTTGATTTGATAATCTGGATTATATGGTAGTGTAGAAGGGGCTCCAGTTGAGAGGGCTGATTGTTCTCTGAGTGGTATCTTTGTGTTGCCATGTCACTGGTTGAAGATAACAGATATTTGTCCACCAGTGGGTAAGAAATGAAAGTTGGAGGAGCCTTTGTGGGCTGGGCAGGGTACTTGTACTTGCATAAGCAAGAACATTTTCTGCCTGTCTGCCCTAAACCTTTTGTGTTGACATTGAACACTGACTGTTTCATAGAAGAAGCAACTAAACTAAACAATTTATAAGACGCATTCCCCTATCAAGTACTGAGACTGCCATCAAGCAGAAATGTATTTCTTTACCAATGCATTTCTTTCTCTCTCACTACAACAAACAGCAAGCATTCAGTATCTTAGAGGGGTAGAACTGACTGTACTACAGGTGAGCAGTAACCAGCAGGTCTGTGTGCAGTTTGACTTCCAGAATGATCTATTCTCTCAAGTCTCTCCAAATAGTGGACGCCCGGTGAGTGATTGTGGAGATATTAGAAATGTTTCAGTTGTTTACTTGCTCTTTTCAGTCTTTCCCCATTTTACATCTGTTTCCCTGCAACCTTCCCACTGACAGCTATCTTATATCAGGAGTAAATGGCATAGAGAAGCACTAGCAGAGCATGAATCTGAAGATGAATTTCAAAGCTTACTCCAAATGCTTTTTTAAAATGTTAACATTTTATTTAGTTCCAGTGGTGTATTAGTCCGTCCTGACAAGCCTTCTTGTCAGAAAGAGGGTCTCATCTCCCCTTCATCAGGACAAAAAAAGAGAGAAGGAGATATAGGAAATATTGCCAAAACAGGAGATATTTTCTTAAACTTCTTGTTTTGACTTTAATAAGGGAATTACTCTTAAGTACCCTGTACTTTTTTCTTTCATCTCTCCATCATCTTCTCATAAATGTTATTTTATGGATGCTATGCCGTAATGATTCAGTGGAAAACAAAGTTCTGATTTCAGTGAACTAGTGTGTAAAGCATCTGTTAAAAGATTTTCTTTTATCTTGTTTCAGTGGAATTTCTCTTTCAATCAATTTGAGGTACAACCAGGTCAGGCATATCAAGTAACTGTGCAGCACCTGCCCAAACTAAGTACCCCAGGAGACCATAACTGGAAATCCATGCCATTCACAGTACCTGGTAAGTGATTTGTTAGTGGGCTTGTCATCATGTAGTTTTATGTTGTAGGACTGTATGCAAATCAAGATGATGTTGCTAAAGGATTTGGTTGCTATCTTGGTTAGTTATAAATCACCTTCAACTTATGCTGTGCAGAAAATGCTTTAAAACAAGTCAGCCTAGCTGTAGATTTACAATATTTATATAGAGAGTAATTAAGTTAGAAATAGATTTCAGTAGGAACATAGACTGGAAGACCCATACGTTACAAATACAGGAAATGATGGTGCCATCACAATGTCAAATGAGAGAGAAATTCAGAGAAAAGAAACTGTAAGAGAGCTGGAGCAAGCAACAGGAAATAGGTGATGAAACCTCACAGAACCAGTAGAATGAAACTAATGAGTGGCAAGTAGTGATGGGCAGGGAGAGAGAAAAAATACCCCAAATGAAAACAGAATTGTGGAGATAATTAGCTTGAAGAATTTAAAAAGAATATTCTGAAGAAAATAAAATGAAAGAGAAAAGAAAAATAGAGTAACTGTAGATGAACTAATAAGCAAGACAAACAGCAGAATGAGTACAGAATAAACACTGAAAATTTTGTGATCTTTTAAAAAGGTTGTTAGAAGAACAAAAGAATTAACCCCCTCAGCTATTTATTTATTTTTATTTATTTATTTACATTATTTCTATCCCGCCCATTTCAGCCCGAAGGCGACTCAGGGCGGTAAAGGCGACTCAGGGCGGTAGCTATAATCCCCACTCAGCAATGAAAACCCACTGGGTGTGTCCTTGGGAAGTCACATTCTCTCAGCCTGAGATAAAGGCAAAGACAATTTCAGGAAATGAGTATAAGAGAAGGACATAGAATTGCTTCATTTCTAAACAATTTCGGTTCAAGAAAACAAACTATTGCAAAACGCCTGGAAAACAAATGAAATAGAAGAGGGAGAAAGTGACAGAAAAGTTGGAATCGAAAAGGAAAATTGAAAATAACTTAAAAGAGAATCTAAAAGATTGGAAAAATATATAATCAGAAACCACATAATCTGTCCTGGGCCCGGTCCTGTTCAACATCTTTATTAATGACTTAGATGAAGGGCTAGAAGGCAGGATCATCAAGTTTGCAGACGACACCAAATTGGGAGGGATAGCCAATACTCCAGAGGACAGGAGCAGGATTCAAAACGATCTTGACAGATTAGAGAGATGGGCCGAAACTAACAAAATGAAGTTCAACAGTGACAAATGCAAGATACTCCACTTTGGCAGAAAAAACGAAATACAAAGATACAAAATGGGGGACGCCTGGCTTGAGAGTACGTGTGAAAAAGATCTTGGAGTCCTCGTGGGCAACAAGTTAAACATGAGCCAACAACGTGATGTGGCGGCAAAAAAAGCCAATGAGATTTTGGCCTGCATCAATAGGAGCATATTGCCTAGATCTAGGGAAGTAATGCTACCCCTCTATTCCGCTTTGGTTAGACCACACCTTCAATATTGTATCCAATTCTGGGCACCACAATTCAAAAGAGATGTTGACAAGCTGGAATGTATCCAGAGGAGGGCGACTAAAATGATCAAGGGTCTGGAGAACAAGACCTCTGAGGAGTGGCTTAAGGAGCTGGCCATGTTAACCTGAAAGAGAAGGCTGAGAGGAGATATGATAGCCATGTATAAATATGTGGGAGGAAGCCACAGGGAGGAGGGAGCAAGCTTGTTTTCTGCTTCCTTGGAGACTAGGACACAGAACAATGGCTTCAAACTACAAGAGAGGAGATTCCATCTGAACACGAGGAAGAACTTCCTGACTGTGAGAGCCGTTCAGCAGTGGAACTCTCTGCCCCAGAGTGTGGTGGAGGCTCCTTCTTTGAAAGCTTTTAAACAGAGGCTGGATGGCCATCTGTCAGGGGTGATTTGAATGCAACATTCCTGCTTCTTGGCATGGGGTTGGACTGGATGGCCCATGAGGTCTCTTCCAACTCTTTGATTCTATGATTCTGTGAAAAGTTGAAAACCTGAAATGGTAACAAAATAACAACCTGAAGTATTATGAACAAAACAAAGAAGCAAACGCTTTCCATGAAAGTTAGTATCAGGTGAAGAAGTAGTAAATATTATATAGAATACTGAATGTTGAGATTTTTTTTAAAGCACAGAAAAAAACAAGTTCACACTCAAATGTCTGTCTTCCTACAGTTGCCAAACATAAGATCTTGTTAGTTGATAAGACAGGCACTTAGATTTCTGCACTTCTAATTCTTACATTTTGATATTTTTAAAAATTAGACTAGAATAATATTTCAGGCAATTTTTCCTTCTTATCCAGACCTACCTCTTGCTTCCCACAACATCTTTCTAAATGTAAATTCTTCTTTTCTAACTTCTTGTTGCAGACTGTACAGATGCCCTCATGAAAACAACAGTGCCTTGTGTGGAAAAAGGTAAAGTGTATTTGTAATTTTGTAAAAGTGTGGGAAGATCAAGTCAGGGGGCACAGTGGTTTTTAACTTTGAATATATTTTAATGGATTTTAACTGAATTTTAATACTGTTTATATTTAATTCTGGTTTAATGTTTGCATATTTGTATATTTTAAATTGTATGCTAATACTTTTATGTTATCAGTTGATGACCAGCACCAAAAAATGAACCAATGCATCAGCTCTTATATTAAGCTGCTTTAGGAGAGATAAAACTGAATAATAATAATAATAATAATAATAATAATAATAATAATAATAAATGCTATTTGAAATTTCTGATTACTGGGTTGTTGTAGGTTTTCCAGGCTATATGGCCATGTTCTAGAGGCATTTTCTCCTGACGTTTCGCCTGCATCTATGGCAAGCATCCTCAGAGGTAATGAGGTAATGATGCTTGCCATAGATGCAGGCGAAACGTCAGGAGAAAATGCCTCTAGAACATGGTCATATAGCCCGGAAAACCTACAACAACCCAGTGATTCCGGCCATGAAAGCCTTCGACAATACATTTCTGATTACTTTTTTCTTTTTCAGGCAGTCTGTGGGAACCCAACATTTTTGTGGAAAACCAGGATGTTGATAGTCTGTTGGTGATCTTTAACCCAGCTGTGGAGTCGACCAGTTATGTCATCCATGTGACCAGTTTTCAAGATGAAAAGAAATGCAAAGAGGCCACAAAACGAGTTTCAGAGGTAATCAGCTCTTCCTTGCCACTTGTAAGACTTATGGCAGAAAGCAAGTATTTATCCTGAAATTTTAAATTGTACTTCAGTAGTTACATAGCTCATAGTTATTAGTCCTTCAGTGTTTCTTGACTCAACCAAATGGATGATCTGCATTGATTTACATAATACACCATTGACATCTTAGTATTCAATATTACTTAACTTTCATGTATTTCTTATATTCCAGAATCTGGAATTTTGAGCAAGCAACAACTAAAAGCCACAGAGTGAGAGTGTAAATATTACACTTAATAAAAACTTCCATGTCGATCATGATTTAAAGTTGCTTTCCAAAGTTGACTTGCTTGTATGATATTAACCTTGATTATTCATTTGCATGCAATAGGAAATGATAGTTAATTGTAACATCCTAGTTTCTACTTAGGGGAGGAATGAAGCAGCTGAAGCTATTTGCATGGAACTTGTGCATGTTCTAGTTCAGGAATGGGCAAACTTCAGCCCTCCAAGTGTTTTGGACTTTTACAAGTGGTGGAAGTCAAAATCCAAGACATTTGGGGACTGAAGTTTGTCCATGCCTGAACTAGCTGTTTAAACTGGTGTTTGATAACTTGTGTTTAAGCAACTATATTCCATGTTGGAAACCACATTCTTTATGCTGTTGATATCAATTTCAAGTGTGTTTTTGTACCTGTGTGAGTGTATGCTATGACATTTGTTACATCAAACCCATTCAAATTCTCAAGAGTTATTCATTTGCTGAGAAAGCTCTGTGCAGTGGTTTAAGTTAAGTGTTGGTTTAGGACTCTGGAAGACCAAGATTCAAATCCATGCTAAAACACAGAAACTCACTGAAAATGATCCTGGACAAGTCACACTCTCACAGCTTCCAAGGAAAGCAGTGACAAAACCCCTCTGAACAAATGGTTAGAAAAACTTGAAGGCACATAACAACAAATTCATCTGTTATTCTACTTCTCATGTATAAAATAAAATTGCAGCTTCAGTCCATTTCCCATTTGTCCATTATTTCTATTTATAAAACAATTATATTCCTGCCTTTTCTATTTGAAGATCATTGTGGCCTGATACAGATAAAAAGAGCATTTCAATCAAAAATAAAACACAGCAACCGTACACAAATAGATGAAATTACATCTATTTGGAGGAAAGGTGTTTTAAAAACCTTCCTAAAGAACAGCAAAAAGGAGCTCATTGGATATCTTGAAATTGAATTTGAAAATGAATCAGGAGCAAGTAGAGTTAAAGAAGACTGATACAATACTAGAAAAGTTGCCTCCCTAGATAATATTGACCACAGCCTTTTGCATCAGCCAAAGCCTCCAAATATTTTTTTAGAAGAGGGCCAAATAAAATACATTATTGTAAACTAATTTGGTTTGCAAGTAATTAAGATAACTGAAAATGCATCTAGATCTCTTTTCTCTGCGAAAGAGCAACTGACACACTACATGACCAAAAACACTCCAAATTGTTTGATCATTCAGAAGCAAATTTGATTCAGCAACTATCTTTGAATTGACAAAATTCTTCTTCACCTTTGGTTTCTGCCCCTACCTTTTTTCTGCTATAAAACACATTGTGCTTGAAGATTCCTGTTCGTTTTTTCTTCTTCTCAGTGCTGTTTCTCATTTTTCCTTCTGATCTTATTAAAGGATTTTGTGATTTTATCTCAGGGCTCTACTTTATCTCTTGGTTTATGCAGGAGGGACTGCAGCAGCGATTGAATGTCACAGTTGTGCTAGAGAGAAACTTAAGGAGTTGCTGTGAATACCAAGTGCAGGTAGGATATCAGCTGCTGACAGAGCATCGGGCAATCCATAGCAAGCAATTGCAAAGAGAACAGTAATTTTTCATTTATAGATTTAGATCTCTTTCCATTCTCACTTACCTATAATCGTTTTTCAGGAGAAAAGCTTGATCTTACAATGCTGAAATACAGCCAGTGGTTCTCAACCTGGGGTCCCCAGATGTTTTTGGCCTTCAACTCCCAGAAATCCTAACAGCTGGTAAACTGGCTGGGATTTCTGGGAGTTGTAGGCCAAAAACATCTGGGGACCTCAGGTTGAGAACCACTGCAGTAAACTATCTTGTCATAAAGAAAAGTCTATAAGTTGATCTCTGAGAAATCACATGACCAGTCTTCCTATCTCTCTGTGCTTTAGGGTACATACAATTATCCTTATGTTAACTTTTGCTCATTTATCCTAATTGGGATATACATTATATAACTCTTTAGGTGTTATATGTGTTATAAAAGATCACAAAAAAATCTTCTGTTAGAGCTTCTGTCTTGCAAGTAATGTCCTGTGTGGTGTGTGTTTGTTTTTAGTTCCAGACATTTCTTGATAACTCTTGCATTTTGAACAGTGTATCCTAAGGAGACCAAAGTGGAGGGTGTTACTTACAAGTCAAGGGGCTGTGAGCAAATCCCCCTAATAACAGAGAATCTTAAAAAATAGTCTAGCTATTGTACATAATTTCTCAATAATCCAAGCATGTGCTATTTAGAACTGAAATATCAATTTAGCTGCTAAAATGGACTCTTCCTTTCCCTTCCCTCCAGATACAGCCATTCTTTGCAGCCTGTGCCACAGATTGTAGGAGACATTTGGTTTCCGTCCCATGTCCCACGCTTCCCCCAAAAAACGAACTAGAGGACCCAGGTATGGTCTCATTTTCCACCAGCAAACTGTTGCTAGTTACTCTTACTTTGAAAAAAAAAATCAAGATCTTGGAACTGAAAATATGCACTAATATTTCAAATATTCAAATGTTGTGGTTAACATAAGTAGCTTGGTACAAAGAAAATGAGAAACCTAAAGGAATTGCTGTAGGCACTTCCTCTAAAACAGGAATAGGCAGCTTTTGGTGCACCCAGGAACCAATATCTGCCTCATGCCTATCATACTATAGGAACACACCCTTCCCATCTACATCACCAAATCTTGGTAGCAACCTGAAGTTGGTTTTTTGTTTTCTGGAATATATTTTTATTAAGGTTTAAATAAGGCACATGGCCAGTGATGATTAATTTGACAGCAGTATTGCTAATAGCCTTTCAATCATTGGAGACACATGGCGCATAAAGACACATGTAAGAAATGATTCTTCAGTCTGAGAACCATGAAGAGATCAGTCTCAAGTGAAGTGAGACAGAAATCACTCATCGTTCCAGATTTTGAGATGTGAACTGGGCACTTGGTGACTTCTGTATCAAGAGACCCAACTTTGGAAAATAATAATAATAAATAATAATAAAACTTTATTTATACCCCGCCACCATCTCTCCAAGGGGACTCAGGGCAGCTTACATGAGGCCACACCCATCAATATAATATACACAATATAACACAAAAACACAACAGAAAAACAAACAAAAAAATAACCTAAAATACAAAACCAATGTATGTAAGCAACACAACAATATAAAATCAAAACATTACGGCATTAAAAATGATCACCATGGACAGGACCAAATTCAAGGATGAAATTTTTAAAACACATGGGAGATAGGGCAATGAAAATGATGATGAGACCAAGCTTCTTCTAGCACTGTTGAAATGAACCAGGGAATGAACTTGCGTTAGAGAACCAAATCTCTGTCTTTAAAGTTAAGGATTTGTTAATGTCTACACCCACACATGTGTTCAGCTATGTTAAACTGCTATGGGAGCAGTTCTTTAAAAGTCTGCTTTAAAATATAAGGAAACATATAGCATTGTTTATTGCTATCTTAGAGCAATAAACAATGTTGCTTTTTGGCCCATTGTTGCCAAGAATGAGGTTGACCCACTGAGATTATTCGATTGCATTGCCTGGTTGAATGCAGCTGTGGAAATGTATCTTACAATGTGTGCTATTTTCCTCTTATGTTACAGATTATCTTTCAGTGGGGCTGCCCTTAGCCCTCACAGCGATCTGTATTTTATTAGTTGGGTCAGCTGTTGCTTCAACTATTTGCCTTGCTCGAAGGCATAAAGGTATGAAGTATATCAGAAATGGAGGTCCCATTATCTTATTTTTCTGCTTTTAGTTTTGGGGATATCTCAGATTCCATGGAGGTGATATACGTATGGTCCACTCAGTATTTATGCCATCCTGAAATATGTAGCATCTGTATTACCATCCAGAAATGGAGGGGCCATAACTACCTTTCTAATCACATACCCTATTCAATCTTCCACTGTTCAGTCCCTGGCATCTCCTGTTGAAAAGTGATAACAGAGAATGAGTAATATTCTTATTGGTGTAGGTAGGGGAAGATTGTTCTAACCCAACTAGAAAAACAGCCTGGCCTGCTCTAAGATAGCTTCCTGTATTTCTTACTGTACTAAGGCCTCCACATCAATTGCATTAGAATTTCCTGTAACAGTCCTCCTCAGTAGGCTAGTCTCACCAGCTGCTTTGTAGAGCTGGTAAGAGAGCCATTTCTTTCTCAGCATATATGTCTAAACTTTGGCTACCAGATTACACTTGGAGTTAAATACAGGAAAATAACGGGAAGAGATAGGTAGAGAGCCAGGTAACCTTAAATATAAGGAAAATGGCAGACAGTCATCACTGTTGTAGCACAGGGGCCAAGAATCATCACTCTGAAAAAGCTGGTGAAGTTTTTGGCTTGAGCATAGGTCAGCTTCAATTCCTGTCTGCTACAAAGTAGCTACCAAGAGCCTGATATGAGTTTCCATTACTAAGAAGATAGTTGTGAGCCCTAGGAGGGAAAAACCATAATCTGCCTTTTCTTCTTCTCCCACACAGAGGGTGAAAATTCCTGGGCACAGAATTCAATTATTCCTGCATCACCATAGTTTTTAGCAACAGAGATTATTCCTACACGACGATAGTATTCAGTCAGGTCATCTAATGTGTTTGCTTCTTTACCTCTTAGGAACAAACTCTGGAGCAAGCAAGAGCGATGAAGCAAACCATGGTAAGAGAACCTTTCCTTCTGGTTCATTGCAGTTTTGCAATCCAAGATAATTTATCTAGGGTTAAGTTTAGGAAAGGAACAGTTTAACTTTTTGCTGTATGGAAAGACATATCAGCACAGAGTAGAAAGCTGCCAAAAGCTATGGAGTTTTATGGGAAATGAAGGATTAGGAGCTGTTAGTTTTGAAGCAAAATTCCAGGAACACAACTGGATTTGGCACATAAGCCAAATCTTTCTCTGACTGATTAAAGGGCTGAAGAGAGATTGAGAGAAGAGACTGAGTAGGCACAAACTTACATTCTTGATTATTTAAAACTTAGCCTTCCATCCTCTCTTTAAGAATGAGTACTTTTTCCCTCATACGAAGCATTCCTTCTTTGTCTAGTGAGCACAAATTAAAAATACTGCTGATTCATATTCTAAGTCAAGGCTAAAAGTACATACATGTCTGAGATTAAACATTTGCAAAACATTATTCTGTTAGCATTTTCAGATTCTTGAACACTATCACCAATCTAGACCTTGATTAAATACTTTAGGTTTATACATACTGAAGGGGGGAATTTGTACTAAATCAGTGGTTCTCAACCTGTGGGTTGCCAGGTGTTTTGGCCTACAACTCCCATAAATCCCAGCCAGTTTACTAGTTGTTAGGTTTTCTGGGAGCTGAAGGCTAAAACACCTGGGGACCCACATGTTGAGAACCACTGTACTAAATGATCGTAAACATTTATTCTCTCCAGGTTAAAGTATGAAAATACCTGGTTTTGTACTTGTACTTTTTATATATTGGCTGGGCTTTTAAAAAGAAAATCTTAATTTTCTAGAGCTGCTGTCCACACCACCAACTCCTCCGCCACTGAAGCCCCGTAAGGTTTGGATTGTGTATTCTGCTGATCATAAGCTCTATGTTGATGTTGTGATGAAGTTTGCTCAATTCATGATCACCGTCTGTGGTACTGAAGTAATTCTAGACCTGTTGAATGAACGTCAGATATCTGAGATGGGACCCGTTCGCTGGCTTACTCGTCAAAAACAGGAAATGGAAGCGCTCTCTTCCAAGATAATCATCTTGTGTTCCCGGGGCACTCGAGCCAAGTGGCAGGCCATGCTTGGTCGTGATGAGATGTCCGTGTCTCTCAGGCAAGATAACCTGCTTCCGATAGGAGATATGTTCACTCCAGCATTGAATCTGATCCTGCCAGACTTTAAGCAGCCATCTTGCTTTGGCATGTATCTTGTTTGTTACTTCGAGGGCATAAGTAATGAGAGAGATATTCCAGACCCATTCAACGTCACTTCCAAGTACCAACTGATGGACAAGTTTGAGGAAGTTTACTTCCTGATTCAGGATCTAGAAAAGTTTGAGCCCGGGCGGGTCCATCAGATTCTGGAGATCTCACCTGACAAGTACACTGAGAACCCCAGTGGTAGACAACTGAAGGAGGCACTGCAGACATTCCAAAAATGGCAGGCTGAACACCCTGATTGGTTTAAAAAAGAAAACACCTTCTCTGCATCTGAGGATGATTTGCAGTCCCTGAATGGGGAGCTCTCTGAAGAATTAACACCCCTCCAGGGAGGAATTGTGAAACAGAAGCTGATTCCACAGGAGCCTATCCACAATAGCTGTTTGGTCAACCTCTTGGTCACTGAAGATGACCTGGGAGCTCATAGACAGCTGCCCAAGATTCTTTTAGAGGATGATGTAGCATTCCAGACCCTGGTGCTTCCTGTGGATGATACTTCTCAGGTTCAGATGTTAATGCCATATGATCTTGCAGAAGAGGGAGAGATACTTAGCCATCATCTGTTGACCAATGAAGACAGTCTGGAAGAAATGCCTATAACAGACACTAACCTCTTAAGGAGGAACAGCGTTATTCTTCAGGATGATGTATCCTCAAGTCCCCAGCACTTATCAGCTGATGTGAGGCAGCAGCTGAGTGGATTAATGTACTCTCTCTATCAGCAAAGCATTACCCCTTGCGAGCCACCTCTCTGCCAAAATGAAACCGATGAGCAACATGGTCTGGTTTTTGACTCTAGCAAAGATCAAAGACAATCAGTGCAATCAGACCAGGGTTACATCTCCAGGTGTTCACCTTTGCCTTCTGATAGCCCTGTGGAAGAGGAAGAGGACGAGGAAGGTGGCCAAGAGAAGGAAGGGCATGGATATAATGGGTCCCTATCCCAAGATGTATTGGACAGTTTAAAAAGTCTTCAGCAACAACTGCTTTTCCAAGATATTCAGCACAGTTTCAGCTAGGATCTCATCAGAGGAGTGACTCTCTGGATCTTTATTCAGATCCTGTTCTATATTTTGCAACAAAAATGCATGTTATTTGGAATGCACACATTTCTGGTAACTGTATTTCCTTGTTCTTCATGCTTCTGTGAAGTCTAATGGGTAGGACTGATGACAGCTCCCATTTTGTAGCCAGATTAAGCTATCTACTTATGCATTCAAGTTATAATGTCTATTAGAGCATCCTTACACTGTTGTCCTCTAAATGTAAAAATTGTAAATAATGCTGCAAATGAACTGAGGCTATCACTTCTGGTGTGAGAGAATTGGCCATCTGCAAGGACATTGTCCAGGGGACACCCGGAAATGGTGGACGAGTATACACAAATTTTGTTTCATGCATGAAGTGATCAGAACATATAGTGCATAAAATTACCTTCAGGTATGTTATAAGGTGCATATGAACCATAAATGAATTTCATATTTAGACTTGGGTTCAATTTCCAAATACTTCATTGTCTACATATATGCAAATACTGGTGGCACAGTGGGTTAAACCACTGAGCTGCTAAACTTGTTGACCGAAAGGTCACAGGTTCAAATCCGGGGAGTGGCGTGAGCTCCCGCTGTCAGCCCCAGCTTCTGTCAACCTAGCAGTTCGAAAACATGCAAATGTGAGTAGATCTATAGGTACTGCTCTGGCAGGAAGGTAACGGCGATCCATGCAGTCATGCTAGCCACATGACCTTGGAGGTGTCTATGGACAACGCTGGCTCTTCAGCTTAGAAATGGAGATGAGCACCAACCCCCCAGAGTCAGACATGACTAGACTTAATGTCAGGGGAAAACCTTTACCTTTACTATGCAAATGCAGGTATTTCAAATTCTGAAATCCAAAACATTTTTGGTTTCAAGCACTTCAGATAAGGGGTACTCAACCTGTTCTTTCTATTCTTTTTCCTGAATCTGCCTCTGATCAATTTAACAGGTTGGTTTTGAGTTGTTCGGTTATGAAATAAAAAGAAAAAAAAATATGCACTTCATGTATTGCTTGATATGTCTGCATCATGTTCCTTCATAGCCTTTCTATTCTTCAAACACCCCAGCCTTTTTTCACTCATTGTTGGTTTTTATTTTTGTTTTTGGTTTTTTATTTCTTTGTCTTTTTTGTTTTTAGTGTGTCTCTTTCCAGTTTTCAGATAGACCACAGCTAAACTCAGTATTACAACTCAGTTGACCATGTTTTTATATCAAGTTGTTAAGTACACTTGTGAGTTTCATTGTGAGCCCCTTATTTTCAATCCTTTAATAAATCTTAATATGTTTTTCACTCTTAGTGTGTTGAGGTTATGCTTACATTGATTTGTTCACCATCATTTGCCTTTTTTTTTTCCTGTTCACCAGTTTAAGAGGAGTAATCCTGTTGGGATTTTGTCTTTCTGCATAATTTGGGGTCATCTTTAAATTTGCCCATCTCACTGCTGCTCTTCCAGTCTACATCAAGACAAATACCTTTTCTTTCTTCAACAAGCACTGGGCGTTTTTAATACTGAGGTTGGTAAGGGTACAGTGAACTTGTATTGAGGTGAAATCCTGTTTTAAGTATTTGCTATACTTAGTTACAGATGCTGAGGTAATCATAGAATCATAGAATTGGAAAGGGTCTCCTGGGTATCAAGCCCAGTCTCCTGCTCAGTGCAGGATCTCCAGTCAGAGCATCTTCAGCAGTAAATATCTAGTCTCTTTTTGAAGACCTCCAGAGAAGGAGATCTCACAACCTCTCTAAGCAATTGGTTCCATTACTAAATCACTCTTATTGTCAAGAAGTTCAATCCAATATTCAAATTAATTCTACTCTCCCATAACTTCAAAATATTAAGCTTAGTCCAATTTCCTTTCATACTACAAACAGTCCCAATACAATTGCTAGAGATACGGTGTTTTTTTTAGTCAATTGTAAATGATTTTGCAGCTTTAAAACTGAAGTAGGAATTGAGGAATTAACAGAAGTTACTTTACAATCTTTGAAATGCGCCTAGTTTGATATTGGAAGTAATTTCTCTTCATCATATAATTAATACCAGCGTTCTGATTTAAAAGGTAATATTAAAAGTTCTGCAGCAGAGAAAAGTGATGTGATTGGCTCAATATCCCATATCTGACTTCAGTGTGCTAATCCCTTGGTTTCTACTTCCATACATAACAATATCCCTTTGAATACACTACAGTAGAGATGTTTATAGCAGTATTTCCATGGTAAAAGTAACATAGCTATTCCCCATGAAATACAGGAAGATGTTCTTTAATATGCATCTCTTCACACAGTTTAGATGCTCTGACTGTTTTTCATATGTATCCACCATAGCTGCTGATTTCCTACACTAGCTAAGGCTCCTGATACATGAAGCAAAAAGTTAAAGCATATAAAGAGAGAGTGCATGCTCTCTTCAGGTGGCCAGGGAGCAGGCGGAAATACGGTCACTTGCCTATTGTCTAATGTAACAGTGTTAATTCTGCTTCTGCTCTCTTTTGGCAAATTTTTGCTACAATTTCTTGACAGTCCTAATAATTCAAGGTGTACATGCACTTGAGAGTTTCCTTCATGGGAAGTACTCAAGATTTCAACTGGTTTAGAAACTGATAGCTATGAAACTGATAGTCATTAAAGCTATAGCCCTCCTAAGAGTTTTTATTAAAAGGTCTTCTTAAAAGTTATGACCAGATCAAGCAAGATGTTCTTGCTCAATTTTCATTTCAAATAGAGGGCCTTCTACTGAGTCCCTTTTAAATTTGTCTACAAACATGACATGAAGATGCTGAAGTCTTGCACTACATGGACATTGTACGTAAATGCTCTATAGGCAATGCTACATAATAATTTCTTCCTTATTCAGAGCATTTTACAGTTTATTATAATTCTTTCCACTTCACTGTAACATTGATCAGTATTTCTTCTGTATTATGTATGGAGGAGAATTAAATGAAGGTTGTGTTTTCTTAAGGTTGTCATTGCTTTGTTGGTCATGTACATGGCCAATAATTACTATAATGGTTTATCAGTTTTGTAAGTTCAATATGAAAGTGTAATGTCAAATACCAGGTATAAAGTGCTAGCTTTGATACATATTATATTCAACACCATATATGGGAAGAATCCAAAAACCTGTCATGGGAAGATAGTGTTTAAAGCTTACAGTAGTATGGAACATCCATTTTCTACATAGTTTTACATTCCTCTAGCATAATTTTACATTTGTCTAGACCAGAGACCACTTGACTAGGGACCACTTTGACCAGGAACCACTCTCCAACATTAGTACCAAAATGGTTTTTGATCAACTTTAGATTCAGTTTAGTTATTTGGGATGATTCAGAAAATTGCATTAGATAGACCACACTAGCTCTAGTTTCTTGTTTCTGATACAGAATATATGCCATCCAGGAGTCGCCATCTGCTCACCCACAGAAAACTGTATTCAATAAGCCTTGGCACTATAAGAGCGTTTCGCGAGACTTGTCACTCCCATTGCAACAATGTAGTAATGGAGAGGCCACTGACCATATTTTAGTTCTTGCGGAGCACTAGTGGTCCACAGACCCCAGGTTGGGAACCACTGCTCTAGGATACTGCCTTAAGGGGCCTAAATAGCCTAGAAGAACCAAGTCTTGTCTGATTATAGAATCTAAGCAGGCTCAGCCCTGGGTAGTAACTGGATGGAATAATGGACACAAATGCCAAGTGCTGTTGGCTATATTTCTGAAGGAACTGACAAAACCACCACGGAATATTCCTTGCCTAAGAAGTCCTAATGAGATTTATCAGGTCACCAGAAGCTGACAAGCAACTTGAAACTACACACATAAAGCATACTGAATTTTGAACTTCTTACTCAAGCAATATTATATTACAAGAAAAAATAGTAAAGCTCTGTGAAAAGCTGAAGACGTGATTCCAGAGACTTTACTGGACTTTGAACCAAATTCAACCAAAGTAAAGCAGTTCTAAAAATCCTTTTTCCTCTAATGGGAAAAGGTTAGCATATCTTTACCTACCTGATTAAAAAATAAAGTCATTTAAAATAAGTACATCTATTAGAACAGAATGGGAGAAGAATGTGTAGGCAAATACAGAGAAAGGTTTTCAGGCTGCTGATGGGAGAATTCACTTTTCCGTTCTCCTCCAAATTAGAATGCTATTCAGATGGATTACTAGGAGGAGGAGAGATGTGATAATATGTGACTGTCCCGCACTCTAGAGTTATTCTACCTTCATCATCTCATCAGGCTGCATGTGTAGGCCAAGGCTCTCTCCTTTTTCTGAAATTTTCAGAAATGTTTTATATTTGAGTTGCATTCCAAAGAATTAAACAATCAGATATCCACAAACAACTTGCTATTTTTTATTTTAAGAACAAAAAGTTTTCAAAATAGAAGCTCTGTTAAACTTGTGGGGATGCTAAGTTTCCATATCTTTTTGCAAATATTTTCAATCAGGGCGATTGCTGTTATAGTTGCTATCTTCATACACAGAGGTGTCAATGTGGCCCTGTAGACTTGAAACTACAACTCTCATCAGCTCTAGGCAAGATAACCAAAGGTGAGGGAATGACTGAATTGCAGACTTAGACATTTCCCAACCTCACCATTTAGGTTGCCAAAACCCTCTCTGGTAAATCCAATTCTTTTTAGAAAAACCCTCATCTAAAGCAATTGTTCAGGGCCTGGGATGATGAACCTAACTTTTGTCTTTGCTTCCTTCTCCCTAACCTATTGCTGAGAGGCATGGTTTCTGCTTCACTACTGGAGGGAGGTGCTGCCATCTGTGTGAAACTGGCACCCATTTCTGTGTACACTTCCTCACTCAACATGGGCTGTCCTTGTGCAGAAGCTGGCTACCTTCTGCATAGACATTATAGACCTAATACAGCTTTTGTTTAAAATACTGTGGTGGAGTAGGGAGCAACATGCAATTATTACAATGCAATCCTGCCAAACTGACTATGATTGTATAGCAAAAAAAAAAAATGCAGCCCTTGAACCAGCAGCTTTAATTTAACCAATATCAAATGGATGATCAAATCTAGCTTCTTTCAGTGTTATGAATTGTTTGTCTCTGTGATTGTTGAGCTATTTTTTTACAAGTATCGAATGCTCCCTTCCATCTGCTCTACAGCAAAAGGAAAATTGCAAACATAACCTACAATATGCTAAAATGCACCGGTTCTATTTGTGATGGTAGTGTGCCTATAATGCAAGTAACTATCAGTGTTTTATTTATCATGCAACAAGCTGCTTCACAGCAAAATGGACATATTGTACATCCACCTGTTCTTTCTGTTAGGAAACTAGCATCCCCATGACAAGTGTCTCAGAGCTTTGAAGGAAAGTCCACAGTACTTAAATCTTACAGTCACAGTCACAGCACCAAGACTGTCCAGACAAACAGAAATTACTAAAAGGAAGCTGTCTGGCTAGAACTTCCACACACAATATATCTCAAAAGCACTGCTTTGGGGCTAGAATAATGCACTGGTGAGAAAGCTAAACCTTAGTCCTCCAAGACTGGTTAACAAGAGTTGACCAGCCTGTGGTTATAACCAGGCATCTCAGAGTGACTCTGAAGCTAGGAGTGAAACACCCAATGGACATCACCAATCTGTAACTGAGAACAAAGACAAAAGGCAGAATATAAGTGTAGCATTAAAAAAAAGCACTTCGGAATCAGGTTAAATATTACCTGCACTGTTGGTTTTTTTGTTTTGGTTTTTTGTTTGTTTGTTTGTTTGTTTTTGTATCATTCCTCCATAGTGCAGTAACTTGATAGCAAAGAGGCGTGCCTATACCAAATGGGGAAAATATGCCATTGTATATTTCATCCCACCACAAGTTTTCATTAGTGATTGGGTAGCCTTATATTCTTTTCCTACCTGGGCAATAGAGGGGAACAACACAGCACTGTTCAATACCATGCCCAATAAGTGAATCCTTGAAAGAAAAGTCAGACATGCCTTTGAATCCAAGACTTCCACTCTTGTATTGTCAAAGGCTTTCATGGCTGGAATCACTAGGTTCTTGTGGGTTTTTTCGGGCTATAGGGCCATGTTCTAGAAGCATTTCTCCTGACGTTTCGCCTGCATCTATGGCAAGCATCCTCACTACCTCTGAGGATGCTTGCCATAGATGCAGGCGAAATGTCAGGAGAAATGCCTCTAGAACATGGCCCTATAGCCCGAAAAAACCCACAAGAACCTACTTCCACTCTTGCTCAGCTCTACCTGACTACATGTATAACAATATGGCCGTTAAACCATATCTTAAAACCAAGGGCAATGATAG